ACAGTCATCGCATTCGCGACTTGGCTCCGTCACTATTGACAGTCATAACTTTGAAGTCGTAAATAACTTCATCTATCTTGGAACCAGTATTAACTCCAACAACGGTGCCAGCCTGTAAATCGAGCGCAGAATCACTCTTGTCAACAGGTGCTTCTTTAGACTGGGATAGACGGCAAATGAAAAATAAAGACCTCTCTTGACGAACGATGACCAGACTCTATAAGTCGCTTATCATTCCCGTTCTTCTATAAGGTGCGGAAGCATGAGATGACCACATCTGATGAGTCGGCGTTCGGAGACTTCGAGAGAAAGGTCTTGCGTTAGACATATGGTCCTTTACGAGCTGAGAATGGCTACAGTATTGCCGATAGAACGATGAACTGTACGAGCGGCCGCGCTGACTATGTCATGTGGTCCAGATGGATGAGAAAAATCCAGTTTTAAAAGTTTTCGATGCAGTACGAGCTTGTGGAAGCAGAAGAAGACCACCACACTGTTGGAAAAACCAAGTGGAGAAGGACCTGTTTGTACTTGGTATTTCCAATAAGCGCCCTACAGCAAAAAGAAAAAATGAATGGGGCAATATAAAGAAGTATAAGAGGGTAATTCGTTCTCAATTACCATGCGAATTACGACCAAATCGTTGTAATCAGCTGTTAAATCCCAACAAACCAGATAAAAAAAACTGTTTTAGAGTTTGACTTCTATTTGAAACCAAACGGTATTTGTATATTGAAAGTAAAGACATTATAAATTATTATAAAAGTTGTAATATCAATGGAAATATTAGTAGTTTAATTAGTTTATATGCAGAAGACGAAAGTAAATTTTTGATTGAATATGTTGATTCACTTCCTTAATCAAAAAAATACTGAAATTTTGTCTTGACCTTTTCTATTGTGCAGAGGAAGCCAAAATTGTGGATCTCTACCAGCTTTTCTAGGAGAGTCGCTTGCTTGTCGATTGTTGATTTCAAACAGTTTTTTTAACAGTTTTACATGGATGAAAGTAGAGCCGATAATAATAATAACCTTTATTTAATTGAATGGTTTATTAACTCTTCCTAAAAACTCTAATAACCCTTGCGTTTTCAAATTGTACAAAAAAAGTAAGCCATAGTAACAGAAATATGAGCACGAATAATGTAATTCACGATGACTTGCAAATACCGTATAAATGGCGTAGCGAAAATGCCAAACACGATTGACCGGTGAAAAGGAGATGCCGATAATTTAAGCTCATTCCAAACTGCGAGTATCAAATATTCCGTATATCGTAAGAGAATGTCAGAAGCTACTAGGATGAGTATGATCAAATGGTGGAGTATATTAAATAGCGGCCAAATCAACCTTATTGTTGCGAAAATGCGATGCGAATGCCAGATGAAAGAGAGAAGCCGATAACTTGTACATTCTAGAAACGATAAAACGAGAACCTTCGATAGTGAACAATTCGATGCTTCTACGCTTTCGTCTGCGAGCAGCCGACTGCTATATAAAGGCGACACTCAGCTGCAAGTCAAGTTAGTTACAAAGTGAACTCGTTGGCGTTAACATCAGTAAAGTCGTAAAGTAAACGCGTTGGGGATTACATTTAAGTAGAGTAAATTGTGAAAGTTGATGTTAGTGATTATAAATAGTAAAGTGCAGTATAATTGAATTGTGAATTACTGAGAAAATAAAGGACATTAGATAGAATCTTTATAACGAAAGAAACTGCAAATTAAGTTGGCGAGTTTTTATTTAACAATCCAGAGATCGTACCCGAAGGATTCAGAAAATCATCGAGGTTGATTTAGCAAAATCGTAACATTATGAATTAAACTCGTTGATGACAAAATTATAGCAATGTGAAAATAGTAGGGTGTGAAAGTTGAAATACATGTCGTTGTGTATACCAAAGGAATTAGTAATTAACTGAGTAACAAATAAACGTTGACTGAATTCCTTATAACTAAAAAATTGAACAACAAAATTTGGTGACTTTTATGCAATGCAGTGATCGAACTCAAAGGATTTGGGAAATCATCGAGGCGTATTAGCAATATCGTTACAATTGATTTCGGAAATGGGATTGTTAAGCAAGTCCCGAAGGATAAGAATTAATAAATGTTCAAGGTTCAGGATTTGACGATAAAATCTCAATAGAGAATCCGCAAAGAAAGCATTATCAACAAGGTAAAAACACCATCCTTTGACAGGAAAATTCCTTTCCAGGTCTTAAGGTCTTATTGGTTAAAAATCCGTTGCTTTATTCCTTGCGCTGAACGCTCCAGAAGCAGAATTTTTCCAGACATTCCTGTTTGTGAAATGGATAATAATGACGCATTAATGCGAGCTGTAGAGAAACGATTTTGTAATGAGCACAAGAAGCAATACACCAGATGGCGCTAAAGAACCGTAATCAAAGGCCCAATAAATCTCTGCAGCAATTTGCTGCCGAAATGGAGAGATTGGCTCATCTGGCTTTTGGGTACTTGTCTTGTGAGCACCGTGAGAGAGTAAAATCTAGCGCTTCAGCAGAGTAAGGGATATATGTATATACCAAGAGGGCGACATGTGCAAGTCCGAAGTCAACAATTGCAGAAAATGTCGCGTATGCTCGAACACGTGAAACCCAGTAAGAACACTAGTGCTGGGAAGTGCTACACTTGTGGGAAGTCCGGTCATTTTATACACGAATACGAAGGCGGGCAGTCGTTAGACTAAAACGAGCCAGCCGAAAGGGCTGTGTGCTGACTCATGCAATTGAATACTCCGTAGACTCCTTCTTCTAAGCTGGAACAAAAGCGAGCAACTATGTAGTTCATGGATATGTGGATGGATATGAGCGAATACTTACAACGAATACGGGAGCATCACACTCCGTGTTTCGATCTGTCTTGATATCCAAAGAAGTAAGGCCATTGTCGGGGGTAAAGCTAGGAACGTGAACTGGAACTGGTGGTAACAACATTTTAAAGCAGAATTTAAGAATATGACAGTGCTTCATAGGTTCTTAGCAACGGAGAGCACTAATAAAGCTATAGTTGGTGTCGACTTGCGCGTTCATCAAGGTCACTGTCTCGATGTTTCGAGCAGAAGCAAGAAAGTGCTCCCGAACAGGAACGAGCAACAGAATAAATACAAGCGGAAACAGCAGGAAGACGTCTGGTGTCTAGAAGAAGAAGCTGAAAATGTGTAATAAGCCCGACAGGTAACCTGGTGATCATGTTCAAGCTCAAAGAAAGGAACAGGTGCAAATGGGAAGGTAGGTACAAATTGGTACCAAAATGGTAAATTTGAAGAGACTAGGTTGAGGGTGGTGTGGAGAAAATGTCAAATACGAAAGACAAATGAAAAGAGAACGTGAGTATCGAATATTCTGAACGTTGTAAGAGCATTCCACTACCGGCAAACGTAGTGTCCCTGATGGCTTTCACCTCACGAGCACTTACTTATATTCCACTCAGGGTTTTCACCTCCTCAGCCCATACAAGAAGTAATAATTGTTGTAGTAAAAATTTAAAGAATGTACATATATTAATAATACTCTTTAATAATAATGATAAACTTGTTGTAGCATAAAACAGCGTGTACCCTTGGAAAGCTGGGCAGCCAAGTGGAAAACTCCTCTACAAAATTTGGTGACTTTTATTTAACCTCAAGCTGGGGGCGCGGTCATTTGGAACGGCAGCGGTCGCGCGTTATCGGAAAGACCTATGGGATATATTATATAATTTTTTTTTTTGAATTTAGATATATATCGGTTTTTTTAGACTCAAAAAAGGCGAAAACTATGATATAATTATGAACGGAAACATATTTAGTGTGGTCGATTCGGTGCCGCTCGACTGCTTGAAAGTTTAAGGGTTATATCTAGTGATATATATCAGTCTAGTATATTCTATGGAAGTTACTTAAAAAAAATGTAGTATAAACATTTTTGTTGAAATAAGCTATCCCCTCGCAGCCAGCTGGTGGATAATAACAAAGTAAAATTAAATGGTAAGGGAAAGTGTACAAAATATCTGCAAAATGTATACAAAGAGGTGATTAATTATTATTTGCATGTGCTCATCTTACTATGAAAGCTATCTGCTCAGTCCCACCTACTAATTTGAGTTTTTGCTCTGCAGAAAAATTAAGGTCGCGCTTTCGGCGTTTAAACTCCCGTAATACTAAATATTCCAATCTGAGTTTTTACTACAATTTATATGTACATGTGCATGCAATCATATACGCCTATGCGTATATACAATATTTACATATCTAATTATCAAATTTGTAGACCAACTAATAGTTTAACGTCTACACGTGGGGTTATTAGTATCGATAAAAAAATTGCGTGAATGTAATACATGTTTATACGGCATTTCCACGGCAGCCCAATTACGTATTTCTCTCTTTCAATTACAAATGCGAATTTCCACCATTCAACGCAATTAACAGTTTTCAGTTTCGCTTGTTTGTTACATTTAAAAACGAATTACCCACTTTTATTGGAATTCGCTCACGAAAATTCGTATGGCGAATCAAATAATTCTTCATGTGTTTAGAGTGCGAATTACAATTGAGAGAGCGAAACTCGTAATTGGGCTGTCGTGGAAAATCTGTATTTCAGAAATGTCGTACTTGCCGCCATTTACGTTTAAAAAAAAAAAGCGAGTAAAACCAAAATGTTAGCTATTGTAAAGAATTATTAAATTTAAGCCCTTGTAACTTAATGTATTCCTTATTTTTCAGTAAAATAAAGAAAATAAATTGTCGATCAAACAAACAGTCAATCAAACAATCAAATAAATTACGACTGAACGCGCTCTTATTTTTAGTTCCCACTCGTCGGTAAAAACTACAGCCTTAGCGGATTCGATGGAATAATAACAGCTGCATCCAGTTACGGTAGCCGAGTGATTAGCATTGCGTACTGACTTTCGGAAGGCTCGGGTTCACATCCCGGTGCCACCAACATCCATAAGCTATGGAAAATTAATTTAAATAAAAGATTTAAATAAAATTTTCTTATTGCGTTAGTCCCTCGTAATAATACCATTAGCCGTTCGGAGGTGGCGTGGTATAAACTGTAGTTCCCTCAATTTGTTCGAACACATCGGGACGCAAAAATACAATTTCGAGGAGCAGCCTCTGCTCTGTATATATATATATACTATATATATATATATTATTATAGTGACGTAGTCTCATAATACATATCCAGTAAGGGAAGCACGACTTGCCAGAACTTGAAGGTTTCCCAGAGGACTGGTCTTTGTTTAAAGAAATCTTCGTTGCCACAAGTAAGTACCAATACAGTGATACGCAAAACATAATGGGTTTGCAAAAAGCATTGAAAGACAAGGCTAAGAGAGTGTTGAATGCTTATACATAGCATAAATGTACCGTGCATAATTCAAATTTAAAAGGAAAGTTCTGGCAAACCAGAGTTGCTGGTGAATTAAAGAAAAATAGGAGTGTGGCTCCGATATCCGAAAATTAAATTGATCAATTAGAGACGTTTGCAGCTAAAGTCATAACCTTTCATCACTTCTTTCAGAAGCTGATTGCGAATATCACTTGTCCGATCCCACGTTGATGGAAGATTTGTTGGTGAAGCTACCTATGCAAAAGCGCATCAAGTGGGCGCAACATTCGTCAAGGATTCTTCCGCGACCAACTAAAAGTTATTTTAACGACTGGTTGCAAGAGTTATCTAAAATAATAGATTCAGCAACGAGTCGAACGTCTAGAACTACTGGGGAATAATATGTGAACCAAGTGCAAAAAGGCAAACACTCTGGGGCTGTAAATGGTTTGCCGAATTGAATCATTGTGAAAGATTGCGTCTGGTTGGAAGGAACAGGCTATGTTTCAATTGTTTGCAAGGAAATCATAGGAATGATGTTTGTCGTGAACATCACGTATGTGGAGACAATGCGTCAAACGTTTCCATGCACTTTTCAATGACAGCAATGAGAGCCAGCGCGTACCAGAGTTTTACAGTACCATCGAAACTTCTTTTAATATATTGCCTGTATTGTCATACACGAATAATAAAATAGTTGAGACCTTTGCATTCTTAGATGAAAGATCCGCCATATCGCTTATAAACTACAATTTAGCAGCCAAACAATAAATGAAGAGGCACAAAGATAGTTTAACGTTATAATGGTTTGGAAACACAGCATTTACAGAATCTTCGATCAGAATTGATTTACAAATATGCGGTTTCGAAAAAATAGTAAAAAATTTGATTTTAGCAACGTTTGTATGGTCTCTAATGTAAACGTTTAAAGTCAACAATTTCAACAGCGGTTTGCAATTCTTTCAATTCAATTATCATTAGGCTTACTATTCGTTAGCCGAAATATATAACAATACAGACAACATGAGTTCTGAGTATTGATTATATTTGTTAAGATTTCTTCGTTCTGCTTATACTAAACTTTGTCACATTTCGTTTCCGCGATTCCGCCCAGCAACCATAGGCTTGCCTTGCTCTGCTCAAATAATAGAAGCAGCGCAGAGGTATTAGTCTGATTCTTGCAGTCAGTAAGTTCGTCGAATCTTCACTTCCAAGATCTTCATTTGCCGACACGCGAAAATTGCGATGCCGTGCCGAAGCTGCTGATAGGCTTAGACAACGCACATTTTGGAGTCCCTCGACGAACACGTTATGACGGCAGATACGGGAGTTTTGACAACACTTGGATCGATGATTTATGGATAGGAAAAGCGTTCAGCCAAACAGTGGCGGGGAAAAGGTTCTACGCACTAATAGGGAAAATTAGTCGGGGCTTCAAATGTTACCTGAGCTGGAGAAAATAAGAATTCCTTGCTTTTACGGTTAAAAATTTATGGCAACTTCAGCGAAAGCACACATGTTTAGAGATGAAAATAGCAACGCGAAGGTAATTTTATAGCTGATAAAACCAAATGTGTCCGTTCCTCGTATAGAGTCGGCTATGTAAGCGACTTGTTTTAAACATAACATATTCAGTAGCCACAAATAAACTTACTGCTAAGGTAGAACGAGTTCCAAAAAGTCAAAATTCTTTGTAATGTTGCGGTTCCGACACCGCATCATAACAATGCAACCCTGCATTTTATAAATTTGTCTAGCAACAATAGTTATCAAACTCAAATATTTTGGAGCGCTTTTCGTGCAAATAAGCTGCTTTTCGATGAAGTGGTTAAACTATGAAGCAGATCAACAAAATAAGTATTATAGTGTGTAAAAATAATAATTAGCGCAAAAAACTTGCTCTTCGACGTCGGCCGATGTTGTTTAGAATCTATGCTTTTGTTTGCGCGCCTGGTGCACAGATGGAAGCGTTTCCAGATGAATATCGATCTCTACAAGGAGATATTAAGTTAAGTCCTATAATGCATGAAGACGGCGTAAATAGACTATCAGATCGCACAAACGCAGCAACTGCGGTCCCGGTTTGTACTAGGCGTACTGTAATCTACCAACGAAAAACACCGACAATGGTACCAATTTTGATGGAGCAGACTGATTTGCAATTGTCCGATAAATCCTCATGCGGGAAGCTGCTGAGAAGAATTAGTTCGCAATGTTTAAAGGGCGATGGCCCATGCCCTGTATAATGAGAATCTTAACGAACATGCACTGTATAATTTGATGCGTGGGGCAGAGAGTTTGGCTAATTCACGGTCATTGAATTGCAAACCTTTGGATATTGCTGCCAATGAACCGCTAACTCCAAATCATATTATGATAGGTACAGCTAACTCCGAGCAAACACCCCATCCACAAGAAGAGGCGTTACGACCGAGCAATGGCAAAAGGGCCAGCAGATGCAGTATCCTTTTTGGAAAAGTGGGTCAACGAATACTAACCTGACCATGCGCGAAGGATAAAAGAGCAAAATCTTGCTTAATCATAACTTAAGCGTTTTTTTAAGAACTAGATATAGGCCTTAACAGTCCAGTTATCGAACCCAAAGCATTTGGGAAATCATCGAAGTTGATTTAGGAAATTCATTATACGTTATTATATTCTGGTGAAAATGCAAAACAAGAATGTTTGGTGAGAAGCAGAGGACGATAATTAAATCATGTCCTAGATAAAGCGCGAATGTTCGTTATCGAACATTCTAACAGAATCTACTGGAAGATATATGCGTGTAATGTGTAACTTTATAACAGTGAAGCGCGCACTGCTGGCATATTCAGTTGTGTTTGAAGCTCAGTAATGACAACAATAGTGTAAAGTGAAGCAGAATAGACTGTGTAAATAAACAGTGTGTTTATATAAAGCTGTAAACCGTGTGTTTGCAGGTAAAAGTAGAGTTAGAAACTAAGTCATCGTTTGTAGTAATACGAATTTCGATTTATTGAGCAATAAATTATTAATTACGGTCTTAGCACCTAAAAAACTACAAAACAAATCTTGGTAGTTTAATAAAGCAATCATCAGAAATTCATTACGAGCAACGACGTATTTGACCGTATTAAGCGTCTAATGAGAGTTGTGCAAACCTTTCGTCATAAGGTAATTATGTGTCGAACAGGTATATTTCAATACACCTCTGCCCATTATACTTCTTGTTTTCGCCTCTTCATTCAAGCTGCATGCCAAAGATGGCGTACAGATCTATTCTGTCGAGGTAACAAAATTAACTTTGGTATTAAAATTTACCATTCAGTAAATTTTGTTACTATTTCGTATTCTGAGTTCACTGTCACCCTGTTAATTTTGTTACCAACGAAATAGGAGATAACAAAATAATCTGCTGTTTGATTTTGAGTTGTTAGTTTGAGAAAAAATAATAACCAAAATGGGTAGGCATATTTTAGGCCGGGAGTTTTTTGAAGATGAAGGAAAAAGTGCAAAAAGGGGTTTTTTAACAAGTTTTCGAGACAAAACATAGCCCTCTGAATTTATAAGATAACGGTTCTTAAATTTTTATTGTTGTCGAGGCATATTTTCCATAATTAGGTTCGAATATTTATGATTTAATATACAAATTAATAAATAAACCTTATTTATTTTTTTGCGCACCGTCTACCGTGTTCCATTTCGATGTGAATTTTTTCTTTTTACTCTATCAACTGGCAAATGTGATTTGACATGGACGAAAACAGCAGTGCTGCCAATTTTTTTCCAAACATTGTAACCAGTTCGCCAGAATACCAAATTAAATTTCGGATGTTAAAAAAAGTACTTCTTAGAATACGCATTTTTACACTTTTTTCTTCATCTTCAATGAATTCCAGTCCTAAAATATGCTTACCCATTTTGGTTTTTATTTTTCTCAAACCATCAACATAAAATCAAACAGTAGATATTTTGTCGCCTCTTATTTCGCTGGTTATAAAATATACAGGGTGACAGTGAACTCAAAATACGAGACATTAATAAAATTTACTGAATGGTAAATTTTAAAACCAAAGTAAATTTTGTTACCCCGACAGAATAGGCCTGTTAATAGAAACGCAGTAGAGGCCTTTGATAAGCTTAAGAACGCATAAGTTAGCAAAGATGTTGTTTTATCATACCCCGATCTCAATGAGAAATTTCAGCCCACTACCGACGCATCAACCTTCGCGTTGGGTGCAATATTATCACGGGAGGATCCAATAGCCTATATATCTAAGCCTATATCTAAGAAAACCTAAGGAAAATTGTCACACTAATGAGCGAGAAATGCTCGATATTAAATGGACACTAGAAAATCTAAGGTATTACCTCTGTGGAATGGCCAAAGTAAAAATAATAACCGATCACCAGCCTCTCACCACCAGCCTTTCTCGCCTCTCTCTTTACCCTCCGTCCGACACCACACTTTATATACTTTCGTCTGACACCTGGTGTATATGGGAAAAACTACTTTATGGAGAGGCTCATATGTATATTTCAGGTTTATATTATTCGTTCCTTACCTTTTTATATCTTCGGGCACATGTTTAGCTACAAGTCTGTGTAAAAAAAAACAGCAAAAATATTTGGAATGGAAAAAAACAAGCCATTTGTTTACCTTTTTATGCTTTATTTATGAGTCATTTAAATACTGTTTGGGCAAATGTAAACGAATTTGAATGAATTTTCTTATGAAATTTGATACTAACTAGCATCGGTCTGTGGAACGCTAGCAAAACATGTATAATTGTTTTCGAATGCTGTACACAAACTGGATTTGAGCCAATGCAAGGAATCGTCTGTATGACATAGCAGCACGAAAGATGGGCAAAGCATCTGAACGCCATAAAAGTGCTGACTCTTGCATATTATTGTTTGTTACTTCAGCAGCAAAAAGTATACTAATAAATGCATCAAGCTCAGTACTAGTCAAATCAACCCAAACTCTTGGCTTTGAATCTGGATTTTCTTCATTCCATTTTTGAGTAGCAATTTTTGCATTTCGATTTGTTTCGGTAATAATAATGAATGAAATATTCGGTGTAAAAAAACTTTTGAATACCTCAATCGGAACCGATGTTGAAAGTTTTGGACAAGGTCTGAGTCGCATAATATTATGCTGGCGCGTACGGCTTGGGGTTTGCTCCTCTTTCCATTCTGTGCCATCTTTATCAAAGAAACTTTCGGCCGTGGCTTCACGTTGAATAACTGGAGCGGCTGCATGTTGTTTTTCGTCTTCCTCATCACTGTCCAGTATTTCGTTCGGTTCAATAACCAATTCGTTTTTAACATCTGATGCGTCACCATCCAGCACATAATCTAAATCTCTACTATCATCACCATCGTCGTAGTCGTTCAATGCAAGATTTTCTTCAACATTTTCCGAATTCCGATTGAAATCATTCACTAAAGCGTTGCCCAGGCGAGAATAAAAATCGGTACTGAGACTTCTACTACGTAAACGAGTATTATGAATGAATTCAACCTCTTCACTCATTATGAATATTACAACACGTAATATAAAATATTTGGCAAGCAAAATGAATTGTACGGAGCAATATTCTGTTCTGTTCACTGTTCACGCATCAACTGACGCTCAAAATAGAATAGAGAGAAAAGAAACAACTCAATAAAAGAAAAAATATAACTAACGCATACACATATACAGACATATACGTCATTTTTCTGACCAGGTGTCGGACCGAAGGTGTATTTTTTTAAAATCCTTTTTTCGTCCTTTTTTTGCATAGATCGATAGCCAATAAAATTTTAACAGGGTACCTAGGAGCACAATTCGCTATCTAAATTTTAAGTATGTTAAATTTATCTCCAAAATCGAAAAAGGTCTGGCTAGACGCTTTATAATCATGCGTGCCATCGTTGAGGCGCACTTCAACTCAATGACAAATATATACGCTAGGCGCCGAATGATACACCCAGCTCCATCAAAGGTGCTCTCGACGCTTATCAGCAACACATTAGTGGGTTAAAGGCATTATGCCGGCTTGTGGAATTTCGGGACGACTGGCTGGTGCACGAGACTGTAAACAAACTTTCGTTTGAGAACAGGAAGCAATGCAATGAGAGCTGTCGCTCGTCAATGACGAACCGTCTACTTTTGAACAGCTTACAGCGTTTCTGTAAATAATATGTCGGTCGCTGTCCATGTTGTCCAGCTGCGCACCCGTTGCACCACTCCTCCCAAGGGTAAAGGCGCACAAGCAAATTCAAACAAACGTATGCGTTGTTCGATCAAATTAGTACCACAAGTTCTTCAAATTAAGTAACTCGTATGCCGTCGATAGCTATACTTGCCCGTGGGATCAACACCACCGCCAAATATAGTGTCACTAAGGGGATTTCACCTCACGAACACTTAGTTATAGTCCGCTGAGGATTTTCACCTCACTGGAAAGGGGCCTACTAGAGGGCTGTCACCTCCACAGCCCATACGAGAAGTAGTAATTGTTGTAGAAAACTATTGGAGATTTTATATATATTTATATTACTAAAAAAAATAATAATACGTTTGTTGTAGCGTACAAAAGAGTATTTTTTTTTTTTTTTTGAATAATCTTGGCAAGGCTGAGCTAACCTGAGGACACTGAACAGTGGCTAAGCGAGCAGAATTTGCAGTCAACGTCACCATACGCTGATACATAGTCACCCTGCCAATAACATGTTACATTGCTTACATTAAATGTCCATCAAGCCCAGTTTAATAATGCGTCTGTTAATGCAACCGCCTTCAGATATAAATGGCTTGCTGTGCTCTGCAGTCACATCTTTTCCAGCGTGCTTTAACTACGATGCTAACCCGCCAAATTTAAATCATGCAACCGGTCTGATAAAGAATCGCGATTACGCCGGTCGTTGGCAACCCGAACGATTACTATTCGACTCTGGACGCGTTAATAAAACCCAAAATCACTAAGGACTTACCGGTGCAAACTGTGCAGCTTCATGGCCCCACATTCAAGGAATGTTCCAATCGGATCCCAATACATGAAGCCTGGAAAAACAGACAATTGAATAAGGATGGTCGTGATGGACCGTCTAATGTTTACAGGTAACCGGAAAGGGCCACCAGAAACTCCTATGACTCACAGAACAGTTTTCGGTTGGGTATTATTTGAAAAATTGATGGAGATCTAGCTCCCCAGAGCTTCGTGTGAATCCGATTTGTTAGCTTTATTGCGAGATATTTCGAGTATTCTATGTGAAGATGGTTTCGAACTTCTGCGCCGTGCTTACTCGAAAATAACTTCACACTATATAACTGATAAGAATGGAAGATTTGCCATCAGAGTGCTGTAGTCACGTTAGATCGGAACAAAATCCTGCATATTGTGTCTCTCGAGGCATAGATCCAACTGTTTTGCTAAACCATCAGCTGCGACGGTCGGGTTCTGAGTTTTTGAGCAGGAGACTCAGGTCGATAATCACGAATAATTCATTATTTCGAAGTTACGTCAAATAATCGCATGTGAACTGAGGATCTTCCGCATCTTAAATGGTGGGGCCCTTACAACAACACAATAAAATTTATGTATGTACATATAAGAGTAACTTGAGTTTGATAATACGTACATACATAAATGTATCTAAATAATAGAATATTTTTTAGCTTAATTTTTTTTATACACATTTCATTTACACGTATTTACTGGATCTGCTATAATATAAGCCTAACAGTAAGTGTACAAATCTTAAAAACTAAATTACAAACATTATGGCTCGAGTTATTTAACTCTGAGCCTATTTCAAACTAAACTACGGCGCTCTCCTTAGAAGGCGGGAACATCTGTTCGCTGCCGGCGGGAATTTCTCGATGGGTTGCATAAAGCATTAGCTAGCGGATTTGGATGAGTTCTTAGCTTTGTGAAGTACTTCGTCCTGCTCCTTTCAATTTCAGGCCTAACCAGTAAATTACCAAGGTCTTTATGAATATTTACGTTACGAACGTACCATGGTGCGCCCGTTAGTGCTCTTAAAATTTTGGAGTGGAACCTCTGTATCTTATCAATATTAGTTGCACAGGTCATACCCCACAGTTGAATACCGTTTGTTTTGGCCAAAATGAATTCTATTTGAAACTAAAAATTATGTTCGAATCAGAGAGCTGCAATGCGTATACTATTTTCATTTAGATTCGAATCGACATTCTGGAGTCGAATCGAGCGTTCCGTGAACGTGTCGGTAGTCGTACGAAAAAAAATTCGGTGATACACAAGTTATATAAAATGATCGATCGCAGTTTACATCGATCTAGAAGCAACGGTTGACCCTGACCTACGAACACAAATATCCGATGTGCACCATCCCTGCCAAGGATACAGATATAGGTTATAAATTATTAATTACTTATTCAAGTGGTATCGGTAGTGATAGCCTAGTATGGGCAGATCTAAACTACGAGTGCACTCCCATACGATTATACTTACATGTATGTATTTGCACAAAGAAGAAGTGGGCCACTGTGACTTCTTGTAAGCGTGTGTAAGTTCTCATGAAGGTATTTATGTATGAATAAGACTGTATCAAAAAGAAAGTACAATATTTGTATGAAATATATGTATGCATGTGTGTTCTGAATGAAAGCTTGAGAAAAGTTTCACACACAGAACGCCCGAATAGCAACAGTAGGATAGCTAATTCGAGCAATTAATTTGGATAAGTGTTGCTATCCGATAGAAGTGTTGGCTTTGTTTAGTGTAAGCTCTTTTATATATATGTAGGTTTTATAGGTTATATATTTTCCGTTAAAGAATATTTTATAAAACCTTCCAGTCTCTAACTTAGATGCTCAGTAATTTTTTATATAAACATATATTTCACAATTTCTCTTGTAAATCTAAGTGAAGTCAATAGCGACTTACGTAGAGGCCGTAAATTTAAAAGACGCCAAATAAGACGGAGGCAACCAATAACTACTCCCTGTCGGCAACAATTGGATTAATTTTCTTCTCGCTACCACCTTGTTTTTAGCCGATGATTGCTAGTGTTTTACTAAATGTAATCAATTTTAACTCGTTACTGAAATTGAGTCAGTTTCGTTTTGTTGGTTATCACTGCTAGTACACAGAAGACGTGCATTAGTTGGCGTCAATATAATATTTTTAAATGCTATCTATGTTTTGGCCAAAATGAATTGTATTTGAAACTAAAAATTATGTTTGAATCAGAGAGCTGCAATGCGTATACTATTTTCCTTTAGATTCGAATCGACATTCTGGGGTCGAATCGAGCGTTCCGTGAACGTGTCGGTAGTCGTACGAAAAAAAATTCCATGTTACAAAAGTCATATAAAATGATCGAGATGATGCCATACGAACGCAAACGGATCGTAATTATTTGAAAATGGAAAAGATTTCATTCTAATCTCTGACATAATTCTCTCACAATTTTGAATCAGCTGTTCGCAAACTTTTGTCAAATAAAAGCAATTATGGTCGGCGTTTTACGTTTTTGTTATCCGATGGAAGTGAGGTCGATTAGCGAATTGTAAAGAGTCGATTAAGGAAACTTGTAAGTTTTTTTTCGTCTCGTACTTTCGATCAGCATACGCCTAAAATATTACGTTGAGAATAATTTCGAATTGAAGAAAACTTTATGTTTGTACACTTTTTTCCACGTTTTGATATCCTTAACTGTCGGGCCCAGCAGTTGCTTTGACCTGTGTGCAATTTGGCGAAATTTGGATATGACCACATGAATTCAGTGATGAACTCCTTTTTTGTCGCGTTAATTTTTTCGCATTTGTCCTAAAACAACAGTTTTTATTAATTCGACATAGTTTTTTAAAACACATTAAAATAAATTACTTAAACTTGTATTGCTTGCTTTTTTACGAAAACAATTTTATGTAACTTTTATCGCCACTATTTGTCGGATCGCAAAGTTCCGAATTTTGTCGCTTGTGCTAACGATTACGCGATTCTCTAATTCAGGTTTTACGATAATCGACAACGGACATTTCCATTTCATTAACATGAAGAAAAAGTGGCACCACAGCTTAACAAAATGTCAAAATATACGAAACACTCAAAGAGGAATGGCAAAAACAAATAAACTCGTTATAGAAATTATTTTTGTTAATCTTTTTTTATACATAATTCATTTATTTACTAAATTTGCTATAATATAAGCCTAACAGTAAGTGTACAAATCTTAAAAACTAAATTACAAACATTATGGCTCGAGTTATTTAACTCTGAGCCTATTTCAAACTAAACTACGGCGCTCTCCTTAGAAGGCGGGAACATCTGTTCGCTGCCGGCGGGAATTTCTCGATGGGTTGCATGAAGCATTAGCTACCGGATTTGGATGATTTCTTAGCTTTGTGAAGTACTTCGTCGTGCTTCTTTCAATTTCAGGCTTAACCAGTAAAATACCAAGGTTTATGAATATTTACGTTACGAACGTACCATGGTGCACCCGTTAGTGCTCTTAATTGCTTTTAATACTGCGTTGTAATAAGGTCTTCGTAGTATAGTTTTAGACCGGAGTTTGTATTTAAAAGCCAATTTAAGCTAGTTGCTTTTAATTTCATGTGTAGTATTTTTGCCCCTATGTGTCTCTTCCAAGTGGGACGTCTATCTTAGTGTATACCGAGATATGTAACATCATTTACTTGGGGAATGTTTATACCATTTAAGCGAACTGCAGGAAATGAATGCGGTCTTAAAGTAAATGTCACGCGTTTACACTTTCGTTCATGAACTTTAATTCTCCAGTTTTCTAGCCATTCTTCGAAGAGGAGTAAATGATCACTAATCGTTTTTGCTGCTCTTTTAGGGCATTTATCCCGGCATAAAATAGCTGTGTCATCCGCAAAAGTAGATGTCTGCACTTTTCGGTTTAATGGGATGTCTGCAGATGATATATAAAATAGACCCGACGACGCTACTCTGCGGAACACTAGCTTCTACCGGTTACTCCTCACTGATAAATTCAGATTGTTTAATGGTAAATTGTCTGTTAATCAGATATGACTTAAGTATCAGGCAGAGCTTTATGTATTTTGTACAGTAAACCTTTATGCCAGACTTTGTCGAACGCTTGTGCTACGTCAAGAAAGATTGCACAATAGTACTCTTTGAGCTCGAATGCCTTTCTGATTTCATTAGTTATTCGGTTAACTTGTCCAATAGTACTATGCTTTTCACGAAAGCCGAATTGGTGATCTGATATCACATTGTTACGGTGGAGAAAAGGAGACATTTTTAATAGCAGAATTTTTCAAATAATTTGGAAAGACTGGTTAGAATGGGATTAAAGAGGTCAGAGAGCAATGCTTGTGCAACTCTCTATTAGCATTTTTTTATGTAATGAGGTCGTGGCCTGGAGATTTCTTTGGATTCAGTCATCTGATTTTTCTGGCCGTTGACAGCAAATTCCGACAGAATAAAATTATTAGTTGCGTCATTTGGCTGGAATCCATTACTTAAATGCTCTGCAAAGCAATTTGCCTTTTCTTCATTACTAAGTGTCCAGTTACCATTTGGATCCTTGATTGGCATATTCATTTCTATTGGAGGCTTAAATTTATTTTGTGCTTTCCAGAGTGAGTATTTTTTGGCAGAATTTGGCGCTGGTTTTTCTACGTATGCCTTGGCGTTGCGATCTTCTCGTTGTTTCAGTGCACTTTTCAGCTTCCTCTCTGCTGCTTTCAACTGTGACTTTGCTGCTGGAGAGCGATATTCTTGGCATTCTCTCCGCAAACAGCGCTTATTCTTTACTAGCTCTTCCATTTCTGTATTTGTTAGAATTTTTGGGCACGTAGTAGGCATTTTAATTTTTGGAGCTGCTATGGTTACCGCAGAAGCAAGGACATTATTTAACTCGTTATATCAATATCGTTTCACATTTCAATATTAAGTTGATGTTAATATGACTACTAGTATATTTTTTGTATGTTAGCCAGTTGGTTTCTCTGTTTGTTCGTCTTGATTCTTGTGCAACTATCTTCGGGCGCTCGTAAATTTTTATTAGAACTGGTGAGAGGTCTGAAGACAACTCAGCAACTGTCACAGCTGATACAACGTTTTACGTTTGTTTATAATGGTATTGTTTGTAGTTTATTAGACGGGATCCCCAGTATACATGTTTTGCATTATAGTCTCCTCCTGCTATAAATCTATGACCAAGATTATCAAAAAATTCTTTAAAATGATTTTCTGTGATCTTAAATTTTGGAGGACAATAAATGGCTGAGAGATTTAGCTCTTTGCCCTAATTATTCAAGGTTACAGAGGTAGCTTGTAGACAATTGGTGGCGTAGGGCTATAAGACGCAGTGTTCAAGGCGGTTTCTTAGAAGTATCCCACCGCACCGTATGCCGCCGTGCGCTTTGCCAACGGGATGGTTAGTGGGTTAGAATATGAACCCAGGTATATAAAAGTTATATTTATCCGTCAAGGGCGTTTCAGACAATAGCATTACGTCTATAGCATACCCTGTTCAAAATTGTGTCAGTTCTAATTTATGTTGGTTCACACCGTTTGTATTCCATAAACAAATGTTTAGCACGCTCATTTTTTTTTGTTGCATGAAGATTTGTAGCATGTTATTCTGGACTTTAGTCAATTCTTGGATCATGCTTTCCATAGTTGACATGAACTGTGTCATGCACTGCGTAAGGTTTAAAATCATTTGTTCTATACCTCCATAAGATTGGTTATGTGGAATATTATCTGAATTATTCTTCAGTACATTCGCATACGAAATTTATTTGGATTCATATTTTACACGTTTGGAACAGTTTTATACGTAACTTTTTCTACAAATTAGATTTGAGGTGTATTTACCATTTGACTTCGGCGAGTCTGGATATTATTTGCCAACCTAACTTCTAGATCTTTATATACAGGGCAGCCCCTATAATTGGCAGTGATGTTGCCTCCACAATTACTACATTTTTTCATGGTGACACCATCTTCCTTTGCCGTGAATTCAGACGTGGGATGTAGATTTAGTAAGGCCGAATTCTTAGCAGTTAGTGCATTGCACTGGGCTGTTTCTTTTGTGTGGCTCTTCTACTGTTACCCAACGATATTTCAAATATTTTAAACTGTATATGGGGTGGGTTTCGGTTTTTTTGTCCGCCTTGAATCGGGCTGTAGCTCCCATTTAAACTTTGGCTGGGGTTCTTTTTTTCTATTAAGTATATTTATAACCAATTTAGTACTGAAACCATTTTCTTCAAGAGCCTCTTTTATTTCTCGATACCTTTAATTACAACTGTTAGGCCTTACGAGCTTTTCAGTTGATATGAGTATTAATTTTTATTACTCGACGATAGAAAACTTACTATTTGCATGAAGCTTTTTTCACGGTAAGTTTGAATTTTTGTTTCATCGATGGTACCTTTTTTTAAAGGCACAACGTGAAAGTTATTAGTGCCGACTATTTTGGTAATATTATTAACTAACGTGCTTGAGACACGTTCGCGCAAGTAAATTGGCGGTGGTTTGGCATTTGCAACTGTGGTTGTACCCCTTCTTCTTTTCTTTTCTTTTTTTATCTCACTGGGCTTACCGCTTGCCTGTTCCTTTTCATTAGTATGGTGTATTAGTATAGTAGGCGATTTCCAGTGTTTGCTTGCTGTTACCTTTTCTCTCTTGTGTCTGTCGACTTCGCCGTCTGTTTAGCGCTAGCTGAGTACTGCTGAGATTCTTCTGCTTGAATGTTGCTTTCTTTTGGCGTTGTTTGTGTTGGCGTTGTTTGCTCAAAGTAAGAAAAATAGGCATATGAGAGCCTTCGATCCGGCGGGTTTAGCCGCGACGCACTCATTTTTGTTTTTTGTACTCACAGAATAACTTTTTTGTTTATTTCTCTGTTTGGACTTATTGCTATTAATAAGCAATAAGTGTGTTGTCTTTTTTATTTTGAGCTTATTAGTGATTTCCTTTTTTAAGTGTTGTTTTATTTTATTTTATTTTTTTTTATGAGCAGTGCTTAATTGCTTGTGTGCTCTAACAGCTCTCTCACAAATGAGTAGCATTAAAGAGTTCACGGAGCAATACTTGTGCAACTCTTGGTAGCTCTATTAGCGTTTTTGATGTAATGAGGTCGTGGCCTGGAGATTTCTTTGCATTCAGTTTCTGTACCGCGTTTAGCACTTCTAGGCTTGATATTTTAATTGTCACCTGATTTTTCCGGCCGTTCAAGTGCACATCTAACCTGTAATTACGTGTATATA